ATAGAAAACAACCTTATATTCCACGCTAAAATCGCCGCTAAAGAATTAGGCAACATTTTTCTTATTTTAGATTACATTATTTCATTGTTAAACTTTTTCTTTTATGCTAAGAGAAATTTTATAGAATGATTAATTTTTTTTAGATAACATTTAAATTCAAACTTCATTCACTTATATTATTTACATAGTAATTTGTGTATTAGAGTGTCAATCTTATAGATTAGTCATTATGTCACCATATCAAAAGGTCAAATATAATATTGCATTTTGCAATCTCCAATCTCTGATCAACTCTAATTCCTAAGAGAAACAATGATGTCGTATGTTGGAATCAACATTTTATTGTCGTGTTTTCCACATTGGAATATATAATTCTTAGTGAAAACATTGAAATATTCAATTCTTAGTTCTTTGCCCTAGAAAATTATGATTCATTGAAACCAAATACCCTATCTTAGTTCTTGATCTACTCCAATCGTAGATTAACTCTTATCATCAGTTCTCAAACCTTCGATTTCTAAATTTTCTAACAATGATAGGTTCCAAATCCATTCGCTCCACAATGTAGTGCGAGAGGCTGCCACAGCTACTCAAGCCATGTGAAATCTACTGACTTATCCTCAAAATGGAGGCAATCAAGTCCTCACAAACAATCTGCTACATCAAGATCTTGTTCCGCCTCCAATGGTCATAGGTTATGCTCCATAGATCCATCAAGATGGATCATCATTTACGCTTCTAGCACCATCATTAGTACAAGGATCAGAATCATTGACTAGATTCTAGTTACTGCAAGCCAACCTCGACGTGCAAGGCGCGAACGAACTGTTAAACAACATGTATAATATGGTGCGACCAAAAAACTGTCAAGCAATTGAAGAAAAGTTGCTTCGGCTCGGAGAAATCGCACACAACGCAAATCCAATAGGAAATGCTGTGTAGAAAGCTGCCTCTCGAAGGAGACGTACAATCGATCTTGAGCCAGCAGATTGTCACTAAGATGCGGCCCCGAGATCTTTGAATAATCAAAAGATCCAAAGACATTAGAGTACTCCTTCTCACAGTGTTTAAGGAGACCAAGGTAGTCATGTTACATCTTTTTTGTACGTGTATTCTTGATAGTCTAAAAGAGTCGCTGAATAGAGCACATCTCTTCAATAACCTTGAGGAAAAATTATCGTTCGATCGGATAGTCAAGCAACAATAGATGCATGTATTACCACACAAAAAAATTTCACCATGATTGGAGTAATAGTTTTACCACAGATAATGGTTCATGGTAACGAAATGAGTGATATTAAGTGTGCTACTTTTCACCACAGGCTAGTGGGCGTGGTGAGAAACTAGATAGCTCGCCACATTTCACCATGATTTGGACTATCAAATGTGCTGAAATATTGCTAGGTCATGGGTTCGATTACTATGCAAACTTTGGGTATAAAATAGTTGGTGTGCTATATTTCACAATTGTTGGCTAATGCAACCATATAGTGATTTCCTTTATTATATATATATATATATATATATATATATATATATATATATATATATATATATATATATATATATATATATATATATATATATATATATATATATATATATATATATATATATATATATATATATATTAATTTTCTATTTATAATAGATTATTTTTAATATATTTTCTACTAGAACAAAAAATATATATATGCACAACAATTTGTAACAAAACTGTACATTAAATATAAGCACCAATGACTTCAATATAGTACCAAAATATTATACAAACACAAATATTATTTATATCAAAATCATGATTACTGTGAAATTTAGTAAATAAGCATTAGTCTCTTATAAAAGATTATTTGCATGATCGACTAGATAATCTTAAGACATAGTGCTTAAAAGCTTTATGAATTTTGTGTAAATATGTAGACGACTTCAACGTGGTCGAAATCTTTAAGTAAAAATAGTGTAAAATTTAAGGTAAATTGTTGGAAAGGTAAAGGAATTCGACAATGGCAAATGACAAAACTTTGTAAAAGGATGATGTAAAGTGAAAAGAAAATAAATGAAAGTAGGATTGAAAAGAAAATAAATGAAAGTGAAATACTTTGCATTAAATGAAATGGTGTTTGAAATTATACATTTCACTTAAATAACGCGTCCCTTGCTTCGCTTGGGTACTTTGAGTTTGTGAATTTTTGTAGTAAATTCAACAAACACCCTGAATCCTAACACTAGAACTCATATTTAAACTAATCTAAAATAACTATTGTAACATTATTCTCTTCAGAAAATGACACGTAATTGCTGCATGGTTTTCACCTAGCTATGAAATATCTTTCACATGTCTCGTTGGGTAAAACAAAAAAAACAATTATTGGCTTTGAAAATGTTTCTTCGCGCCAACTGGTGTCTTGCTGAAAAGTGACGTCGAAGTCTTGAGTAATGTTGGCGTCAAAATCTTGGACGAAAATTTATTTTCAAAAAATACTAAGTTCCAATCTCCATCCCACATCTGAGACTTTGACTTCTTTAGTTGACAAGCTGAGTCAAAATTCCCCTTAAACCATTCAATTTTTTTTATAAGTTTTTCCTTATTGTGCTGAGATTTGATCCTGTAAAAAATTCTAGCTAATAAACCGATATATTAAAAATATATATTACAAAATCAGTGTCAGTTTGGCCGATAAATCTCATTGAAACAAGATGCCCAATGTGTATGAACGTCTTTAAAGTCTTCTAATGTGAATGGTGTAGTATCGTTAAACATCTATATAAATTTGAAGAAATTGTTAGATCACTTGATTTTAATTAATAACAAATTTTATGCAATAAAAATCATTAATATGTTATTGTAAATATATATTAGCTACTCCCAAGAATCAACAATGGCGGAAGATAAAATGTTTATCACATGTTTCATAACATAATATCCACACCCGTATCCTCTTGGTTGTTTCCTCATCTACAAATTTGTTTTACATATTGAGTAATAATACACTACAAATCATTTTATCTTCCTCAAGGGTTAGTACACCCTAATCTGAAGAAGGACCCACATCGAGGAATTCCCTCTCAATACTATATTCACGTGAAAATGTAGAAACAATTGTCGAAATGATGAGATCAATACAAAAAGAAAAAAAAATCCTCTTTCAATTTTTGACTCAAGATAAATGTCACTTCTTTTGGTTACAAAAGCTTAGTATGTAGAAATACAGATGATGAAAGACGAAAAGGTAAGGTCGTAGGAAACTGTACAACTGACTCCTCGGAGATGGCACAATAATTTTCTAAAAAGATAGATAATGAGTAACTTTGACGGCCTAGATTGCCTCAATAAAACACTCTAGTACTTCAGTTTCCCAGATCATTATGATAAAACTGTGAAAAGACATATAAAGCATGTGGCACATTTAGGGCATGAATTCCCAATAATATCAATGTCACCTCTTTTCTTTAAACTCAAGTTGGGTTATAGACAACATGAAAGGTCAAATGCGTCAAAACCCTCACATTATAGAGTATAACAAGGGCTTAGGAGCAAGTTTTATGGGCCGGCCAGAAGGCTCAGCAACTGCGACCTAGAGAATGCAATGATTTACCAAGTCACTCGCATGGTAGTATTATCATGGGTTAGTCTGTAGACAATTTGAATCCATAATACATCTGACGATTCTCTACATCCTACGTCTGATGATAAAAAAATTGTTATAATCGTTCTACTATATAAAGAGAAAACACGTCATTTACCAGGTACAACTCAAATTCAAACTTCATTCACTCATATTATTTACATACTGACTTGAGCGTTGGAGTGCTAACTTTGCAGGTCAGTCCCTCTCTGACTGTACCGGAAGTTGAAGTCCACCATTGCATCTTACAACCTACATTCTTCGATCAACTCTAGTTCCCAAGAGAAATAATTTCTAACAACAACCAACCAACCAACCGACATCCATTATTTCCTAACTAACATCAATAATTTTTAACAATCATCCATTTAAGAAAATAATTTTAGCAATGATAAGAGAAGATACATGAAGGAACCAACCTTGAGACATTTCTCAGTTCTGCAACCCATTCTAGGGAATGGTGTTGTACGTCATGCAACGCTTTCATTACCAATGTTTCCATTATAAGTGTTTGAATTTCTAGACACTGCATCCAAGATAAATCGTTATGGTATTTACGTTCTAATTAGTTGGTATGAGTTTCATGTGAGTTACTGATATTTCATATAAATTGATGAGTTGACAGTGTCTTAACCATTGTTACTTTATAAATTGACGAAAAAAATTCTTTAATTATAAACAAGAAAATAGCTTTCTCTCGGTTATCTGTCCAAACTCGGAAATAATATTAAATACAAAATTAAAATTATAAATGTGTTAAAATATTGTTATTGAAATTAGAATAGTTTGATTAAAATCTTTTTTTCATAACTCAACCGAAATAATAGGTAATAAATAAAAAAATTTAGAAAAAAAAATCGTAAAATACAATTGTTGGAATTTAAAAGGGTTAATCACAACTTTTTTTCTTCGGAGTTTTTTAAAAACAGATGTAACACGCATATATGGTTTACACCTCAATTGATTGTGAAAGTTTTATTATAAGATATATTATTTATTGCAGTCTATCCATCTTGGTTGTTCTTAAACTTTCATTCATGTTTTGTGTCATTAGACTATATTATCTTACAAGTGGAGTACTCTGTGATCGTCTCTCAAATAATCATGTTCTCCACATCATTATTTTAAAGTAATAAATGTTCATCCACTTTTTTTGTCTCAAAAACTAATCTTGATAGCCACATTCATAGTGATCCAATTCTAAATCAATAATGCAATAAACACATTTTTTCATAGATTAATATAACTTGACGACTCATCTTTTATAAACAAATATGTTTATTTCTTACTACAAGCAACATTATTCCACCCTATATCTTTGACAAATTACCATAAACATATTTTTTTATTGAAGAACATAAAGACACAAAGACACTACGATTTACCACAGTAGTTATGGCCAACGCCAGGACCCTCAGAAAGAAAAAAGTTATAGTTAAAAATGACAGGAGGGTAATGATAGTCATATGCCGTAACCGTCTCTGGCATCCAACCATCAGTTCCATTCCTAAACAGATACAGTTTGCATATTCCTCCCATGCATGGTTCTGGTGCTTTTACGTCAAATGACATCGTCCTGCACTTCCTAAACGGCCCAGAATCAGGTCCATCTAGTCTTGGAACATAAATCTACATTAGACGGTGTCGCAAAATTTATGTCAGTAGATAAACTTTAATAAGTCAATTCAAATAGACGCATAGTTATGGTTAATTCTTAAAGAAAAGAACCTCGGAGTCAATAGCGTCTCCAAATAAAAGACCAATATGATCTTTTGAATATCTTGGAGAATCACAGCTTGTTTTTATGGTAATCAAGTAGCTGCAGTCTCTATATCCACCTCTACGACTCATCAATCTAGTCTCATTTATCTGAAACAAGAATAATCAATACACATTCATGCGTATAGTAAAAATAAAGATGAGTATAAGATTTTATTTACATGTTGTTGAGTATGGTTAAGCATGGAAGAATGATTCATTTGAAGTTGAAGCTGAGTGATCAATATTGGTGCTGCATGTGAGAAGGTATGGATGATGAAAAGTGTGAGGATTAATAAGATAAGAGTTTTCATGATTTAGTTGTTGTAACCCTTTTTGTTGTTTTAAAAGAAGAGAAAGAAGAACACTTTAATGGTTTAGATATTTCTAATTTCTATTATTTAACTACTGAAATGTTAAAAATACAATATACAGTACTCTTTAATTTTAAGGCATAGTTGTAAAAATAATTATCTGATTATATCTTAATGGCTTTACCGAAGAACCAAAGGATGTATGAGGAATGTAATTCATTAATTTATATGCTTTATTGAAAGATCAGTTGCTAATTGATGATTAGGATAATTCACCCAAATCAATAATATATATATATATATATATATATATATATATATATATATATATATATATATATATATATATATATATATATATATATATATATATATATATATATATAATGGCTTAAGTACAAGTGAATTTCAGAAAGAGAGATAAGGAATACTAATTTGGAGATTAAATCAACAGAAAGACGAAGAGGCACAATGCACATATTTAATTGAGTTAAAAATCATATTTTTGTTTTTGTTTTTATAACAGATAAATGATACTCCACCTTAGAATCAGAATAAATATTTATATTCTATCAACAATATATTAGTTAAAGTGATAAAAGATTTGGAAACCTTGAGCATGTAGTTAGGAGTTAGACTCTGTCATTATAAATAACCACTACTTGACGTTTCGATATTAATTAATGTATTGGCATATGCATATTCACATTTACTATAAAAGCAAAGTGAAAGATATATGCATTAAGAGTTATGAAAATAGTATTAATGGAATAATTATTAAAAATTAGTAGAGATTTGGTTGATAGCTTTCAATACTAATTTCTTTTTTCTCAAACAATTGTGTTGAGGAGGATATGGGAATTTAAGTGCGGATGTGAGAATTTGAACTATTAATATAAAAAATGTATAATAAATACAATAAAATAAAAGAAGATAAAATGTGTAAAACAATTTAATTGATTGATTGAATGTTTTTAAAAATTTAAAAAGTGTTGTATTTATAGAAAAAAAAACTATCCTACTCGTTGTGGCCTATAGAGAATTATTTTCATTACTAAAAATTTTATTTTTTATGACAACGATTTTATCTCACATATCAAAAAATCAAAGTAAAGTTACAAGACACACTTTATTTTTTTTTATAAAGAATATATCATATATTATGTCGATTATTTTGAAAGTCAAGGGATAAATTTATTTAGTGTACATGCTTCAAATCTCAACAGTTTCAAAATATGTTTTTATTAAAAGAATACTATTTGTTGTTGAAAGATTAGTCGAGATTTGGTTGATAGCTCTCTGCACTAATTTCTTTTTTCTCAAACAATTGTGTTGAATAGGATATGGGAATTTAAGTGTGTATGTGAGAATTTAAACTATTAATATTAAAAGTGTATAAAAAGTAAAATAAAATAAAGAAGATTGAATGTTCTTAAAAATTTACTTAAGTGTTGTATTATAGAAAAAAAAACTATTCTATTATGGCCTATAGAAATTTGTTTTCAGTGTAATGCATACTTTAATTGCAAACAATGTTAGTATGAGTTGGTAAGTAATTCAAAGTTTTAGAACATTTATTTTAAAGTATGATGTAGTATGATTCTTAGGGAGCTAAAAATCAACTATTTATCCATTATAATTAAATGCCACCAATCTTACTAATTTATCCTTTATTTAAAATTTATTTATGTCTAAGACAAGGACTTTTGTGTAAATCACATATTCACCTTTCTTAGACTTGCTAAGAACATTTCTTTCCTCCACATTTCACTATCCTATTAGTCCAAACTCATCTCAATATCTTAAATCATTTTTCCCTCTCTTTTCACATCATTTTTTGAAATGGTCTCTCTCTCTCTCTCTCTCTCTCTCTCTCTCTCTCTCTCTCTCTCTCTCTCTCTCTCTCTCTCTCTCTCTCTCTCTCTCTCTCTCTCTCTCTCTCTCTCTCTCTCTCTCTCCGCCTATATTCTCTTTCTGAACCACCCACCATATCAGAACAAAACTTCTTCATCACCTGTCCTCGGCTTTCTTCATCTCCCGTCCTCGTCTTTCTTGCTCGCAAGCGAAAAACTGAAGGTACCAGCTTCTCCCTTCCTCGTCTATCTTCCAACATATTCACTTCCATTGTAAATCCAAAGTTAATGTTGCTTTTCCTTATTCATTCATTTGAAATTGTTTTCTTTTTCATATTCGTGGTTTTATGTTTAAGAAAACAAAAGTTGATACTTATATTCCTTCTTCATTCTTTTGAAATCGATTATTTTAATGTTCGTGATTTTGGGTTTATGAACCCGAAAGTTAATGTTCATGAACAAAGGAGTTTGATTTGGTTTGGGTAAATAACAATTGTTTTCGTTTTTGTTTTGGTTTGGAAGGAGGTTTTTATTTGATTGTGTGTTATGATATTTGATTTTAGTTTATGTTTGTGTTTTATTGTGTAAGTTTGGAAATTTTTTAATTTCAGTGTGGTTTTTAGGGTTTTTGATGCTTTTGGTATTTGGTGAAGGTTTGAGAAAGATATGTAGTCCATCGTCGCCCTCGCATCGGTAACGTTCGTTAGGTTTTTTACTCTTTAAATTTGGTGATGGTTTTTGTTTTTGCAGGGTTTCATTTTCGATTCCTAATTTCATTTCACGTCTTACACAGATATTACACATCCAACTCCTGATCTTACTGGATATATCACTGAGGGGCAGATATATATTGACAGGCAGCTGCATAACAAGCATGTCAGTTATATCGAACGTTCTGGCTGTTATAATTTTCGTTCGCATTGTTTGAAATTTGTAACATGTTCGTTCAGACTAAAACTAAACACACGATTCCTTTTTGTTTGTTTTGAACAGATATATCCACCAATCAACGTTCTTCCATCGCTCTCCCGTTTAATGAAGGTGAGGTTAATCTTGTCTGCTTGATGTCACAAGATGCCATCAATTGATAATTCTCTCCGAAATTTATCATGATTCCGGCCTTGTCTAGCAAAAGTAAAATTGTTCTCTTCAATTAAAAATTATGAGGTTTTATTATATTGTTGTTATGCATCATGGTTGTTGTTACTTCTGCAGAGTGTCATTGGGGAGGGAATGACACGAAAGGATCACTCTGATGTGTCCAACCAGGTCTTCTTTTTTACGTCTTTTATGTTTTTGTTTATCATATTGCAAAATTTCCATCTCTAAACTATCTCATTGGCGTCCTTATGTTTTTCTCCAGCTCTATGCAAATTATGCCACTGGAAAAGATGTCCAAGAAATGAAAGTTGTGGTCGGAGAAGAAGCACTTTCGTCTGAGGATCTGGTCTCTAATATTTTCCCTCTATGGATAATTTCTTTTTATTATACCAAAGTTTAATCTTGAAGTAACGATATTAATTAAATTCTTTTTTTTATTCACAGCTGTATCTGGAATTTCTGGACAAGTTTGAGAGGAAGTTTGTTGCACAAGGAGCTTATGATACCCGAAACATCTTCCAGTCTCTAGATCTTGCATGGACTCTGCTTCATATTTCCCCTCGTGAGCTTCTTCACCGTATACCAGCAAAGACACTCGATCAGTTTTACAGTCGAGACGCCGGAAACTGATTATAAATTCAGCAAGCAAAATATACCTTAGTCACATGCTCAATCAGTTATTAATGATCATGGTGACTGATTCATTTCTTCACTTTCTCATTCAACACCTTCTCATCTGTGGATAATGTTGGTACACATGCTCATCTGGTTTTTCTGTGGATAATGTTGGTACACCTGCTCATCTGGTTTTTCTTCAAATCAAAAGTTGAAGTTAACAAGGCAACTTCACAGACTTTGCTGATCACAGTCTCAATGCTGCAGCTTGGTCAGTCTTCAGTTCTTCCACATCCAATTGATAATGATTCTCATGACAGGATTGTCCTTTGCATGAGATTTCTATGCAATACTGGTGATGAGATAAGGAAGATATGGCTGCAATCTTGCAGGCAGAGCTTTGTGAAAATGCTTGCTGATAAGCAGCGCCGTGAGATAGAGGAGATTAAAGCAAAGGCTCAAATTTCTAATGCACAGCCTGATGACCTTATTGATTTCTACCATTTGAAGAGCGGAAAGGTATGATGGTTGTGTTTATTTTCTCTCTTTTGTTTTGTTTTGTTTTGTTGTTAGTATGGTATAGTTGAATCATTGTTTCGTTGAATCATTGTCAAATAGTCTATTGAGTTGGGTGTTCTTTTTGTTGGTGGTAGTTTCTGTTAATGATTTCTGATTCAGTTATGTAGCAACTGATTTTTATTGCAGCTGCTTAATAGTCAGGAATCTCTTTAATGGTCTAAGGACATGTTGGGATGTTTTCCGGTACATAAATTGTGAAGAAGGGAAGTTGTCAGGTTCTACTGGGGATGCCGTGAGTTCTCTTGTGGAAGGCTATTCCATGGTTGATTTTGATGCAATTATACTTTGTGAATATTTTCTTTACTCCATGTTACTTGCATATAGTGCTTAACTGAACAAGTTTTGGTCAAATGAATGTAAGGGTAATAATGATGTGAGAAGAAGATCAAAAATTTTACGTAGAAGAGGAAAAGTCCGTCGTTTAAAGTATACCTGGAAATCTGCTGCCTACCATTCAATCAAGAAAAGGATTACAGAGAGAAAGGATCAGCCTTGCCGACAGTACAACCCATGTGGATGCCAATCAGCTTGTGGGTCTTCAAAATGGAACCTGCTGTGAGAAGTATTGTGGGTAAGCTTTTAACTCACCCAAATAGCGTTTTGCTCAATTGTCCCGTCTAGACTAAATTACCTCAACTAGACTAAATTACTCCTTGCTATTAGTGATTGTTGTTAGCATTGCTTTGATTTATGCAGTATAGTCCCATTAGAAATGAACCATCTTTGAAACAACAAATTTCTAGATTGTTGTTGTCGTTATTTTGATTTATGTAGAGTTGTGTGAAAAGGGATGAAATTAACTACTTTAGTTTTGGTACTGGTTCTAGGTTCTTTTTTACAATGTCTGAACTTGTGACTGGTATAATTTACTCAGGGCCGTATGAAAATAAAACCAAAATTTCACTAACATTTGTAAGATACAAGTTCTTTAACTTTTCATTTAAGTTCAATTATTTTTTTCTTTGAATATTTATTGGATTTTTGTTGGTAATTCTTGTCATTAGGTTAATTTGATTTGCTAAATTCCTCTTTGATAGTGTATATTCTTGATATTGTATAGTTAATATAGAATTTAATGAAAAGGGGATCAAATTATCGTGTAAAAATCAATTTATATTTTTCAGATTAATAGAGCAGCTGCTATATTAGAAAAAACTGGTTTGATCAAGTATGATAGGAAGAGTGGATATTTTGAAGTCACAAATATTGGTATGAGATTTTCTTTTCAGTTCAACCATGTGATATTTTGATTTGGATTTGATTTTGGCAATTCATTTTGAACCAATAGGAATGGCTGTTGGGAGAGATTTGAAGGAAAGAAAGAATGATGTAGTTGCTGTTATTGGTGATGGTGCTATGACAACTGGTCAAGCTTATGAAGCTATGAACAATGTTGGTGAAAACAAAACTGAATCAAATTGCACTTCCAGTGTACGATTAAACTGAATATCTGAAAGCTTATCAATGCCGGGTTATTTTGTTATAACAATTCCGATTTATATAGTGAGCACTTTTTGAAAGCTTAATATAGTCATTAGGAATTATGTGATTATAGCAATATTATTTATATACTTAACACTTTTTGAGACTAATTTATTATGGCAGTATTATAGCCGTATGAATTTATTCATTAGAAATAATTTATATTTCAATGCATTAGAAATTATTATAGCAGTATTACTCTCATTATATTTATTATACCCCCATTCAGTTCACACCCCGTGTAAGAGGTTTTTCCAAGAATATGGTTTTTGAGGAACCATGAACTTCAACCATGTTGTCTCCAAAGCTATCTGCAACCAAGAGGGGAAACATGCCAAGAAAAAATGATGTCGCACACTTTGTGACATTTTTTGGTACAACAAGCTTCATATATGTTGTTAAGACAACTTTATTTTGTTATTAGTCTTTATCTATGTCATTAGTTTATTTTGGAATGTATTAACTTATGCCTTTGACTATGGTTAATGGTTGCTTTGTAACCTAATATTAATGGTCCTGACATCTTGTGAAATTTAAATTCGATAAGATTATACTTTTTCTCATACTCGTGCGGACGCACGGGTCTTCTACTAGTATTACAAACAATGTTAGTATAGGTTGGTGAGTTATTCTTAGTCTTAAAATATTTACTTTAAGTTTATATTCATAACAACCAATTAAACATATTTTTATGTTTTTTTAGGGTTAAATAGATATACAGTCCTCATAAATATTTCAATTTCGTTAGTCCTTCAAAATATTTATTTTAAATAATAGTTCTTCTAAAATTTTTAATCCACACTTTTTGTCTCTCTTGCAATTTAACGACAATTTTGACGGCGATTTTAGCGACAATTTTATCAACGATTTTAATATTAAGAATCAAAAGTGTGGATGGAAATTTTTAAAAAAACTATTCTAAAAAAATATTATAAGAAACTAAAACCAAAATTTAAATTATTTAAGAGAACCAATACATATTTAACTCTTTATTTATTTCTTTTTTGTTTTCCGAACACAATTAGACAGTAGTTCAACTCTTGTAATACTAAATATTTCTTTACTTTAATGAACATGTATGTTGTTTTTCTATTCTCATATTTTTGAGAAATTTAGGAACCCACAAAGAATGTTGTCACAAATGCTAACATGTTATCTTAAGCAAACTATTAATTAGCCGATCACAGAGTTTAAGTACCAAATCTTGCAGGAGCAACAAAAAGAGGCAAATAATTAGTACTAAAACAAATAAAAAGAAACATAATTAGTACTCGTTAACATGGTCTTTGAATTTGTCGAAATGCAATAACCATAGCTTTGTTCAAAACAAGAAAAACTCTTAATAATAGTAATATATTTAAAGAAAATAATGAACACTAAGCTTTATCACAGTAGTTGTAACCATAGCCAGCATCCTCAGGAATCCCAACATTATAGTAAAATTGAACAGGTGGATTATCATAGTCATATGCTGTAACAGTCTCTGGAATCCAACCATCCGTTCCATTCCTAAACAGATACAGTTTGCATATTTTGTTGATACATGGTCCCAATATTTCCAGTTCATTTGTAGTGCACTGCTCAAATGTTCCAGAATCAGGATCGTCCAGTCTTGGCACATAAACCTGTGAGTCATGAGCATCTCCAAATAAAAGACTGATTTCATCTTTTGTAAATGATGGAGAATTGCAGCTCGTCTTTATGTTTACCATGTAGTTGCAGCTGCCACCATGTTTAGTCTCGTTCTGCTGATACATGTGTGTATATACACTTTTAGTTAATATTTTGGAATAAATAAATAAACATGACAGAAAATAAAATTGTTTACGTGTTGTTGAGTGTGGTTAAGCATAGAAGACTGAGTGATTAATGTTGGTGTTGCATTTGAGAAGGTAGTGATGATGATGAATGTGAGAATTAAGGTAAGAGTTTTCATGGTTTAGTCTCTTATTACTTGTTTCAAGAAGAAAAGAGAATGTGAAAAACCTAAATGGTTTTAGGTGATGTTAGGTTCTATTATAGCATTTATTAGAAATACACTGTGAATAATTCAACAACAAAAGTTTTATGTAATTAAGTAGGGTGATTATTGTATTCTATCAAAGATCATAATGGATCACCTCAATAGAAATGACCGCGTAGAGGTAGTACTTCAAGGACTATTAAATATAGTAATAATCATTTTTTTGACAGTAAATATAGTAATTAAGTGAAGTATAAGCTAATCAATTTATATCAATTGATGTTGCTTATTTCTTTAAATCTAACGTCAATTGTCAATGTCAATGACAAGACTATGAAGAGACAAATACAATTTCAGATTATACTGAAAATGTATTCATTGTTCGACTCTTCAATTTCCTATTTCGGTTTAATTTTAAAATATTAGTTTAAATATGTCTACACAGGCCATGAAGTGAAAATTAATTAATTAATAAAAAAAAGAAAAAACTGGTTGTCCTTCCACAACCTTAATGGCCTGATGAAAGAAAGCAAAGGTGTGTGTGAAATGTAATTACTTTGCATTGCTGAAAGATCACAGAAAGATAGATGAAAATTAATCTCAACTGAATATTTTTTTATTTTTTTATTTTTAAATTAAATAATACTCATATAAAATTACCTGATTAACCAAATTCATATCCTTATTAACTAACTTTTTATTTTTCATTAATCAACTTTGATTTACTATTAAAAATATTTTTAACTCTGAGCGTCTATTAACCAACTTCATCACTTCATTAACCATTTTTTTGCATTTCATTAACCAACTTTATTTCACTACTTTAAATTATTGTTCACAGATACTGTTCACACTGTTTATAGGTACTGTTCATGCACTGTTCATATATTATTTATAAAAATATTTTTTTATTTTAAAAGCATTGATGATATATATATATATATATATATATATATATATATATATATATATATATATATATATATATATATATATATATATATATATATATATATATATATATATATATATATATATATATATATATATATATATATATATATATATGATGTATAATCTGGTGTAGGAATAGCAAACCTGTAGAACAAAGTGTTTGTACACTGGCTAATAGTTATTTAGAATTGGTTAATAATTTTTAAGATTCAAATAATCTTTTCATTTATTTTTACTCTATAAATCTTTTTTTTAAATAGTTACTGCATTATTTTGATTTGAATCGCTAAAGTACAAATTTGTAGAAAAAAATTAAAGGAAAATCTATAAATAAAAATTCGAAGGAAAATCTGTAAAAAAAACCTATGAATTTTTGTGTGGAAATTAAAGGATGACGAAAAGACTTTAAGCCTTTTATATTTATAATATTGTAAACTAATCTCTATTTATCGAAATCCAATTCACATTGAATAATTGGGCGATACAACACAAGCAGAGACATCGATGGAGAACATTTCTAGTGGCTCAGCTTTATGTTGTCAATTAACCACCGATTTAGATATTAAGTAGTAGAATTCTAGATTTTGGACAACGAGTTCATAGGATGTGGTTTCTCAAGTTTTGAAAAGAGCAAAAGAGTATGGGATAGAAGGAACCGAGGCCGATGAAGTTTACATAAAAGAAATAAGAGCTTTAAAGTTATGAGATAAAGTGGTCAGAGCATCGATGAAGAGCAAATCAGATGATCAACCATTAATATTTTGTTTTACAATATTATATGATGTGGCAATCTAATCACAAGGAAACGCATGCAAAATCTTATTAAAGTTCGCAAGGTGGATGTGTGTTTGATTCAAGAACCGAAAGTTAAGGTAGAAGATCTTAAAGTTTCAACTTTATGGGGCAGCTCTCAAGTGGATTGGACAATAAAATGGGCAATTGGGAAGCTAAATGTAGACAACCTAAGGGAGGGTGGTGTATAGGGGGCGATTTCAATGCTATTAAAAACCGATTTGAAAGGAAAGGGAAATCGTTATATTAAAATAGAAGTGAAAATCTAGAGTTTTGTCAATTCATTGATAACTTTGGAGTGGTGGACTTACCTTTGAGGGTAAACTTTTGTACATGGATTAATTTATAGAGGAGTGTTATGAGTAGATTGAATCAGTTTCTCCTATCATAAGGTTTATTAGATAAATGGAAGATTGTGTATCTAGTGGTTGGTGAAAGAGTTTCAGATCAAAGACCTATATGGCTTGAAGCAAATAATGCTAACTGGTTTAACCATTTGGAGCTTGATTCCTTTGTAGAGATGTCAACATTATATATATTTACTATTTTTACTCTTTGATAATTAGTTATTTACTGTAATTAGCTTTGTTACCTAGCAGTATATATAAGCTCCTACTCATCAATGTAACAGTGAGATTATTACTTTCATTATTCAATCAAAGTAAAATGAGTTCCCTTTACTATTTTGATCCTCTTGTCCACATGGTATCAGAGCTCATCTGAGTTCTGGTAGCCATCAGTTGTAACCATTTTCTCCGGCTGAATCTTGCTTCTTTTTCTTGATTCATCCCTTTTTATCTTTCTCCTTGAAGGTGCATCTATGGCGTTCCAGAACCACACTGATTTCTCCACCAACTCTGCAAACCCTTACTACTTGCATCCGAACGAGAATCTGGCGTTGATTCTTGTTTCGCCGCCGCTAACCGCCAAGAACTACCATACATGGTCACGTTCGATGCATATCACGCTGATCTCGAAGAACAAAGATAAGTTTGAGAAGATTGGTTATCCTCCTGGGTACAAGACACACAAGCAAAAGAATCCCTCATCTCAAGCCAACAATACCTCAAATGCTGCTGTTTTGGAGTCTGCTTCACAAGGCTCATCTTCACAGTCCACGTTTCAATTTACTCAGGAAATGTATTAAGGCATTCTTGAAGCTCTTCAGCAGTCAAAACTTGGTTCCCAACCAACAGTTAATGCTGTAACAACTGCTCCTTTTGCTATGCATTCTCTTGCTTCTTCCCAACTTGGTAAGCCTTCCAATCTTTGGATATTAGATATTGGTGCTACTGATCACATCACTTTTGATCTTTCCTCTTTTACTACATATCAAAATATTATCCCTGTTTTTGTGTATTTACCAAATGGCTCCCAAGTCTTGGCTTCTATTTCGGGTAGTATGGTTATATCCCCATCTATCACTATCCACCAAGTCCTTTACATTCCTTGTTTTCAAGTAAACCTAATCTTTGTCACAAAGTTAGCAAGCACAAATAAGTGTCATTTGAGTTTCAACACTAACTCTTGTCAAATTTTGCAGAACCATTCCTTGGAAACGATTGGTACAGCTAAGCTCCAAAGAGGATTGTATGTAATAGATACTGCCACTAGCTTTTCTTCTTGCAATTCTATTTCCTTGATTCTTATACTTTCATGCTCATATTCCTCTCTCCTTATGGAGCTTATGCATTCAACATGTTGTACACATCATAAACAGAATTCCTAGTCCCTTGCTTAAATCCAAAACCCCTTATGAGTTGCTACACAAATCCCCCTACCCTTCTTCACCTCAAAGTCTTCGGTTGTTTAGCTTATGCAACAACTATTCAAACTCACAGGTCTAAATTTGATCCTAGAGCAAGAAAATATGCCTTTATTGGCTACAAAGATGGAACCAAGGGTTATACCCTCTACGACCTCCAATCTGATGATATTTTCCTTTCACGAAATGTCATTTTCTATGAGGATACCCTTCCATTTCAATCTCTATCCAATCAGTCTTCTTCCCAAGAGTCCCAGCACTTTCCTATATCTGTTGGATCTTTGGATATTGATGACATCTCTCCTTTATCCAATGGTCCCTTACATAATGCCAACATCAACCTTCCTGATGCAGCCCAGAACCTTAATGGCCTGATGAAAGAAAGCAAAGGTGTGTGAAATGTAATTACTTTGCATTGCTGAAAGATCACATAAAGATAGATGAAAATTAATCTCAACTGAATATTTGTTTATTCAGTAGTTGGACCTTCTCATTTCTACTGCTTAAGGAGAGTTCAAGTTGGACAGATTACGCTCATAACCCTCGAATTATGAAGTATTCATGGATTGGTTGAATTACAAACAAAAAATTGATATGATATAAATTAGTATAAAATTAGTATGATTCTTTGTATATCTTATCTTGGAGATTGTAAACCATAATAGAATAAAGAAAAATGATATTCATACACCAAATTCTACACATACACCGTATTTCAATGTTCATCAATATGATGAACAGTAAAATATATAAAAATTAACTTTTTATTTTTATTTTTTATTTTTTTATTTTTAAATTAAATAATACTGATATAAAATTACGTGATTAATCAAATTCATATTCTTATTAACCAACTTTTTATTTTTCATTAATCAACTTTGATTTACTATTAAAAATATTTTTAACTCTGAGCGTCTATTAACCAACTTCATCACTTCATTAACCATTTTTTTCCATTTCATTAACCAACTTTATTTCACTACTTTAAATTACTGTTCGCAGATACTGTTCACACTGTTTATAGGTATTGTTTATGCACTGTTCATATATTATTTATAAAAATATTTATTTATTTAAAAAGCACCGATGATATATATATATCTGATGTATAATGTTGCAAGATGGAATAGCAAACCTGTAGAACAAAGTGTTTGTATACTGGCTAATAGTTATTTAGAATAGGTTAATAATTTTTAAGATTCAAATAATATTTTCATTTATTTTTACTCTATAAATCCTTTTTTTTAAATAGTTACTGCATTATTTTGATTTGAATCGCTAAAGTAAAAATTTGTAGAAAAAAATTTAAGGAAAATCTATAAATAAAAATTCGAAGGAAAATCTGTAAAAAAAAAACCTATGAATTTTTGTGTGGAAATTAAAGGATGACGAAAAGAATTTAAGCCTTTTATATTTATAATATTGTAAACTAATCTCTATTTATCGAAATCCAATTCACATT